CCTTTGTAGAATTCTGGACCTGGATTATCCAGGTCCAGAACGGTTCTTTGGCTGTTTTCCCACTTCCTTCCCATGCTTAGCCGCCACGCACTGTATCCCAGAGGCACTGATCAAGCCAAACAATGAAAGGACAGAAATGCCGGTATGAAGTCTTCTCCCCACGAGGTGTCGCCGAATATTGGGCAATGTCCCCCGGGGTCAAATCCAATGTGGCAACTCCTCTCTGCCAAATTCGGAGCCTTTGAACCGAGTTTGCGCAGTGAAATCTCCTCCAACAGATGCCTCAATTCCAGTAGTATTGACGTCGCTGAGGAGAACTGCTCATGGCCCGGCGTTCGCTGAGCTCTACACTGCTGGCTTCGACTGTGCGGTATTGTATCAAAGTTCACTGGCATAACGAATGCATGATAGGCGCCAAAAACAGCTACAATGTCAAAAAGAAATAGGATGTTTTGATAATTTCTTTTTCAGATACCTTTTTCAATCGCCAGCTATTAATTGCTGACGTTCCACCATGCAATCGTCAACAAACCGAACTTTCTATTGGCATTGATGCCACAAATTTTCAACGTTCTTGGCTACAAGGAGGTTACTGAACCAACCCACGATTCTCGACAGGCAGCCGTCATAGATGATGACAAGCAGTCAACAGTCGCAAGGTTTGCACCCCTCCTGTTTCTGCAACATAGTGAACATCACTTCAACGCAATTCGAGTGTGCAGCCTCGCCATGAAGCGCAATTTGAATAATTAAAAAAGGGAAAAAGAAAACTACACCTGACAGCTCGATACTTTGCCTGACATATCTTTGGCTCTGCTGCATGAAGCTTCGATCGCCCAGTCAACAACTGCTCATGTGTTTTCTGAGTACCTTACGTTGTGTAACATGTCCCACTTTTCAGCACATTAGCAATTTGCCTGGTATCGCTTTAGTACATTGTTCCGATTTTCTATCCCAAGCGGTGCAGGCTGCAATGAGGGGTGGACATGTGCTGCCCGTCATGCTTCTCAACTCTGAAACCTTTCCCTTAACCCAACTTACCACCTTACTCTTTGCACCGTCCCATGCCCTCAAGTTACCATCCTCCTTTTGCTTGCATTATCCCATGTTCCCATGCTTCTTCAAGTGTTTTTGTTGCTTGCAGGCCTAGCGAGGACATTGGAGCATGTACCCACAGCAATGAAATCTTTGATGTGAGTCAGAAGAGCAAGTCAGAGCTGAAGATTCACATGGAAGGGTCTGGCGTGCGTGCGGCCCTGATGTGCAGACCATCGGAAACAGGCAGGGGAGACCGCAGAGGGAGTTTTCTGTCTTCCATGTCGGAATTTTTCGGAGGTCTGTCTGATGAGCAGCAGAAGAGGGCGCTTTCGCAAAAGCAGCATCTCAAGATGGACCTCGAGAGGCAGGCAAGGCACGCGCATGGATGCCTCCATGTCTGCATCTTGTGGGTTCCCTAGGGCTTGACCAGTTCGCTGGGCTGTGCATTGCTATGGGTAAATTGCTCTGTACCATCCACCGTCTAGAGTGTTCCAGCAATCGATGCTATAAACTCTCCGAGGCAGCAAAGGTTTTGTTCAATTCCGTGTACCTGTGCACCCATTGCAGTGCGCCTTGATGGCTTGGTTTTCAAACAAATGTTTGCTCAAGGGTAGATAAAGGAGAAACGCCAAAGAGAAGCTCAGGCACGAGAAGAGCAACGTGCACTGGAGGAGCGCGAAGAAGCGCAGCTGCGAGCATACCATGAAAGATATGAAGGCAAATTACGGCAACAGAACGTGATGAAGGCGCAAGGGAACGCACATAGAGTGGGTATGAGTGTTTGATTCATCAGTGTGTCCAGACACACAGCGCCACAGGGGCGGCCGTCGAATTGTCAGTCAGTCATATGCCTGCCATGCCTTCCTCGGTGAATAAGACAATGGGCAGAAGCTCTGCAACAACCTTTCTCCTTCTGCGACGCCAAATCCTCAATGGGAAGAGTTTCCATCGACTGATGGAGCGCTTGATGCTGTGATTTTTAGTGGACAGAGCCCAATCCCAGGCAGGGGGTGCGGCTTCAATTCATGTGGCTCACTTCAATCAAAACGGCATGAGGAAAGCTACCGTGCGAAATATAGGCACAGTTTCCCCTTCACCACCAGCTGGGGCTCACAGCGAGGGAACTAATCAGCAGAACATCGACGGCCCAATGGAATCAACAAATGTCAAACAACAAGTTGATGAACATCAAAACAGGTACTGCAGATGTTTCTGCATGATGCGTGTGTCGACAACGAATGGCCTATTGATACCTTTGCCCACCAATATCAGGATACCCATTGTTTGCTGTTTACACTGGCAAGGATCGTATGACTGACTCTCCAAATAAGTACCATGCAAGCAAGCAAACAAGAGATCCAATTGGTGTGTACGAGTCGTGCGCCGTTGGGTTGCTGATTGTGCAAGTGCTGGGTGTTCAAGATTGAGAATCCGTTGATGGCGACTGGATGTTGGTCTCCTCATGCCCCACGCAATGGCAGCAACCGCTACTGCTGAGGATGTCAGATGTTTGCATTTGTTGCAGCAAACTCCCTGGTCAGTCCGAAAAGGGCAGAGGGCTTCAGTTGGAGGTGGTTGCTGAGGCAAAGGCCCAAGAGACACAGCATATGGGGACACTGTTGGAGCAAATGCAAAATGAGCAGGTGAGTCAAAAGCCCTTTGACCCATCAAGCATGTATGGTTCAGGGATTTGTGCCAGGATGGTCATGTCGTTGCTTTGGACTCTCAAGACGCGCAGTGGCAGTATCAAATTGAGGTGTGTGGAAGAATACTAATTAATCGTATCATATATACACCTGAAGTCCTACTATGCATGCTTGATGTGCATTTTATACGTAGGTGAGACTGCGAGAGGGGTTTGCACAGATGACAATGGCGGTGGAGCGCTTGGCCACGACCACCAAATCCAACAGCGAAATGGGCGGATGCGCTGACGAGACTTGCCTGGGTCCTCCCAACGACTTTGTTGTCAGCACGCACATGCTTCCAAAGACGACAAATGAAATTCCAGAGGTCCTGCCAGCTCCAGTGGCGAGGCATACATGCGCCGTTGTGCCCAATCCAGATCACATTGAATCCGATGCAGCCAGTGGAATACAGTGTGCAACTGCTGACGGGCGTCCACGGGGCACCGGGCGGATGGAAGACAAGCATAACGGTTGGGGCGTGCGCAAATCCCATCCACTCAAGCAACGGGGAACCAAGGTTGGTGCCCCAAAAAGATACCACTCCAGGCAAGAGCAGGGTCCTCCGGGAGTTGAATTTCAGGTCGGTGCAGGCGCACAATGTGAGGTGGAATGGCAACATGTGGAACGTATAAGATTCGCAATCCGTTTCGTCAGCAAGGGCGCGAAGCATAACACAACAGCCATGATGCTTGGAGAACGTTCAGCTCGTGGTAGCATGAACGGTGCTGTTGCATCGGCCAACTTGGTTCGCTCACACTGTGGGCAATGCCGTAGTACATTGCACCCTTCCGCTTTTTGAAATTGCAGCGTTGCGATTCCTGCTCCGCATTTGGTGGATGATGCGTTATTTGGGGGGCTATGCATCATTGTCACAGCCAGACTGGCGACTTCACTCAGTTCGCATGGCCTCAAGCGCTGGTTTTCCATGACAGCGACCCACGCATCTGGGGCCCTAGACACCACGAGCAGTCCAGAAACCCTCGTGTTGCAGCTGCGACTGCTCGACGTTTTCTTGGCATCATTACATTTCCATTGTTGCTCCGCCTAAAATGACCAAACGCTACATTACGGTGTGGAAAGGAATGACATACTACGGTACTAATCAAGGATGGCAGTCCTCAGAAATTGGGCAGCCACATACTTGGGTGCAAGTGGGCATGTACATCAATGCGCTGAATGGCACTCCTATCTCTGTCAAATTCGTCTCTCTCGTAGACTTGCGAGAATGAGTCTGGTTATATCTAGGACGAAGAAGTACAGCATTTCACAACCCTGGTGGTTCTATGCAGATTTGAAGGAAAATGAATATGTGTGCAATGAACTTAATTTTACACAGAAATTTCGAATGTGGACATTCATTCCGTTGTGGAATATATTTGACTTCCTGTGTGATCGGCAGCCCACTGTGTTTGACTTGTGATTTGGCATTTGCAGGCTGGGCAAAAGCATACAATGAAACATATGTGGCGATGATGGTCTACGTAGATTCTCATGATGAAGGCCACAAATCGCTTTGAGAGAAGACATTTTGCAGGACTGGTCTCTCGAATATTCAAGTTTGTCTCTGAGGATATGTTCTCCATGAGCCGCGTTGTTCCATATCCACATATAGATCCAAAACTACACATGCCAGGCGATTCGCGGACGCGAGGAACACCATTATGGCGCATGATGCAAGCTGTCCTCCTTTCTTCTTCTGTACCTCTGCAACTGTCTCCGGTGGGTTGCAGCGCACCGGGCTCACTGGGGATCCCACTGAGGACAACCAAGCCTCCTTGGAAGAACGGAGCTGTCCTTGGGTGTAGCTGCATGGGCGCCCTGAAGGCCTTCCAACCGCATCCTTCAACTCCGTGGCCTCAGACTTGGGCAGCACACACACCTTAGCTTAGTTGAAGCATGGGTTGTTTACGTATCATCGACACAATATGACCAAAAGCATCATAAAGTTGTTCATACCACATAATCGCACACAAGAATACCCTTAATACTTGTTCATACCCAGAAGCGAATTCCTTCAGTACTTGTTCAACAATCTCCAGAATTGAACGAATCGATCCAGCAGAAGCTTTTGCCCACACATGGCTTCATAGCAACAGCGCAAATCAACTACAAGATCAATAGCCAATCGGAGACAAAATCCAGCAAGGGCAATATACACCCCAATTGTCAGTGTACATAGCTTGTAGAATAGAAATGCGTAAGGACATGCATGGCCGTTACCACACCCACGTTTTCTACAAATGTTTGCCCATCTGCAGTGAGCCAAACTCATATTCAATGAGTTTTGGACTTTGCGTCAAAGGGCAGCATATCATCACGGGCATCCACCGGGAAGGTAATAAACATCATGTGGGAATTTGTGTCATACACCTCCAGACTGCCCATAACCTGCAGTTGCACAGACACATGACATCAAGCATGGGAGGTGCATAGCAAACTCTCTTCAGCAAACTTGATTGTCAAGACTGATTGTCAGAAAATAGAATGAATGCCCTGGCACAATCGGGAAAATGAGTGTGTCATACAAGCAGAGCACAAACCCTGAAAGTGGTCAGCACCTTGTGCAGACACACACAGAGAAGGTCCATCATGTCAGAAACAACAGGCAGCAGTTTGGCACCAGTTTGCTGTCCAGCAGATTGGATGGCCATGCATGATATGACTGAGTTTCCTTGCAGTGGCTCGAAGCAGAAAAATGCACAAAACTAGTGTTGCACTGCACAATGCCCCAAGAACTTGCAATATGACAGCTGCATAGAACGATGTGCAGAACAGGGGGGGAGAGGCGGGCCCACAACTGCCCTGGACATGTAGCATTCATGGACTACCAAACTGTTGTACAAAGATCCACACTGAAAGTGCCTGGCAGCAGCTCTTCAGAGAAATGATTTGTTCAGACCACATATTTGAGGCTCACTGCCATGCAACTGTTTAGATAGACGTGCGTGGTTGTGCAGGAAAGCAGAACAGAAACGATACACCCCCGGACAGGCTCCTGACATATAGTGACTTTACACATGCGTGTACGGTCAAAATTTCTGCTGTCACCTTGCAAGGCTCTAGAGACTTCAGAGACTGCTTCAGTCTTGGGTAGCACCTCATGATCCCAAGGAGAATCGACAACATGCCATGGAAAGGGAACTCCAACGAATGGCACAGTGACTCTGGGAAGTAACCGACCTGCAACAGATTACGAAAGCATTGTGGAGCCATTGTGTGTGTCCCAAATTAGTGCATGCAGCATGTACACACACAGCCATACTGGATGCAGCCATACTGCATGCAGCCATACAGCGCGCAGCATTTGCGCATGTGTTCTGCTCTGCTTTCTAATTGAAATTTCCACTGCAGAAACTAGTGAAGCAGGTACAGCACTGACCCTGTTCTATTCGCTTTTCAGCACAGCTGGTACATCAAGTGGTGTGCTGTTACCTGCAGACCATGCTCTGTCGCCAGCGGATGACCCTCCATTTCAGTTCTAGCCTCCTTGAGGCCTTCAACATCCACGAAGCACAGCCAGTATCATGCTTTGCCAAGGAAAGGAAACTGCCTTGGTTGCACCCAATCCATACTGCGAGTGTTTTACAGACTGGAACAATTGATCCTGCACAAGCACCTGGGCTGGTATACTGGGCCAGCAGTGCAGCAGCATCAGCCAAACGAGCCTACAGCACTCTACGGTGAATACAATAGGCAATGATGGCACACCATCACTTTCAGCCAATGTGCTTATTGCTTGCAGTGTGCCCAGCCGCAACTGGATGTGCCAATGTTACACCGCTAGAGATTCCAAGTACCTGCTGCAGTCCCAATGCTTTTGCCTTCTTTGGCGATCACAGCGATAGAAGAACGGCACTCCTGGCCAGGAGTTGTCTCTGGGTTGTCGAAGTAGATCCCACATTTCCGGTTATGGCTGACACCGTGCTGCATTGCCATTTTACAGATGTCGTGGAAGATAGGCCCAACTTCCTTGTATGGTCCCTGCTCAACCGAAAAAAAAACATCACACTCAGATTATTTCGAAACTCGAAGGTTGGTGTTCCCGTGTATCGGAGCATTCGCAGTGCGCACTTACTCCTGATCTTGCAATAACAGTTTGCTGCAGTGTAAAAGCGGTTTAATCCCCTTGCACATGCAACAGCTTAGACGGAAAGTGGCAGTGCCTGCGGGGCGGCACAAGAACCACTGGAGGAGGGACGCGTCTGCGTACTACTGCTGCTTTACACAGTTGCTCAGCTGGCTGAGTAGGATAGCACAGTGCACCGCGGCAGTCGACTTGTGAGGGGGTGTGCCTTACGGTGACCCCAGCGAGTCAGGACACGAGTGGCCACCCGCGGGGAAGGCAGGATGGGTTATTCAGAAGGTTTTTTCCTGCCGTACGCACAGCTGTGACGCTGCGCTTGGCCACTGCCAATAGTTCAGTCTGGCTGATTCAAAGCGTGAGAATCATCCGTGCGCTGCTCGGGCAACAGTTGGACGCCCGTCACCAGGTCCTGATAGCAGAACCAGTTGCCTTGCATTTTGCAAGAACACACGCCCGTGGGGGTTGAGGTGAAATACTGTGGCCAGGCATCCCTCACCACATGGTTCTTGTAGAACAGTAGGTACGGCCCGAACTTCTTCTTTTCAATTGTCAGCCTTTTGAACAGGCCGTTGACAGCCAGGAGCCATATGCAGGCGCCCACGCCCAGTGCCGTGGACACAGCAGCAAGGGTCTGCGCGTTCAGCATGGCTGCACACCGCCTCGTTGCCAAGCTTTGGGACAACAGAAGGCTCGGCTAGACGCTTATCGGCGGGGGCAGGAACCCTTCAAAACAATATTACTGCCTGTACCAAATCGGTGACTGCTTGCACTAAATCACGTGCACACTATGTCCTAACCTCAGTTTTAGGTTTAGGTTTAGTTTTAGCGTAAGTTTTAGGGTTAGGATTAGGGTTAGGGCAGGTTTAGTTTTAGGTTTTAGGGTCTAATTTAGGTAAGTTTTGGAGGGAGTTGGTGCAAGCAGTCACCGATTTAGTGCAGAAAGTCACTGACCTGGTGCACCTAATAATTGTATGCCGGAACCCTGCAGGGTGTCCTTGAGGGGGAAGCCGGCTTGAACGTCGCATATCGTGTTCCAAGTACCATGGCATTCTGCTGTAATGGATGGCATACGTTAAATCAGATTGACCTTTCGCATTTACGTTGGCGGCGCCCACATAATGGCTAGGTACGCTTGGCATATATACGGTTGCTAGCCAGGCGCAACCGCGAACGCCCAAGTCATTGGCCAACGCTGAGCGGCCAGCTAGGGGAGTTCCCGGTGGAGCGAGGACCCTGCCTCACATCCCGTCCCTAGAAACGGGTTCCCGGAGCCCTCCGTTGGCATGCTGCAATCAACAGATCGCCACAAGTAGGCGGCCAACAAGACGCCGGCTAGACAACCACTACAGTTACAGAACCGTGGGCAGGCCCACGTTGGGCAACGTGGGCCACGGCCAACGCGTTTCCTGGTGTGGGGATGCCGTACAGGCCATGGGCGGGCGTCGGGTAATTCGCGGTGCCTCACTTGCCAATGTGTTCGGGTAAAAATGCTTGGAACACTAATTCGATGTGTCCAAACGCCCATCCAGGCCTACGCGCCGCCCACACAGGCCCAATTGCTACACATGCCTACATATGCATATGTTGCCCTATGCGTCGGTCTGCCCGCATCTGCCATGCCGGGCCGTGCATGACGCACCCCACACGTCGATAGGCGGCCGCTTCGTGGGCACGCCCACAGCTAGCCGACGTGAGCGGCTGCTGAATGCGTGCTCGCGCGTCGGCAGGCTGTTCATGCGGGGGACTCCCCACACCTTGCCCCATTGAACACTAAAAAATGCAACGACAAGGTGGCCATGCACACCAAGGACGCGAACGTGGGATGTCAACACCATACAGCAACCGGTTCCATCACTTGACCTTATGTGCTGGAGTTTGTTTGCTAAGCACTTGCCCCTAGTTGCAGTGTTGCTCAAGGAAGATTGTCATTTCCTTTGTTTCTATCGACCGCAGGAAATGTTAGACCTAACGGACATTTTTAAGATAGGGGATAGCTCCTTCAAAATTCCTACTATAACCAAGGAGCGGCCAAAGGGCAGTGAATTTTGCCCTCCCTCCCTGTCGCGCTGGAAAAGGTTTTGGTTCTGTGGAACCCAGGTGACTTAGCAAACACTATTGAGATGAAGTGGTGTGTCTGTGATTGGCGCTGATGACTATCCCAATGATGGCAATCAAATGGGTTGGTAGCTTTCACTGAAGCGAGTCGTGTGTTGTGGACCAGGAGCCAATGCAGGAGAAAGACTAGGGGCAACGATGCTCCCAAGGAGCCTCGCCCTATTCTGTTAGGCGATGTGTGCATCATGAGCACCATGATGAATGGATTAAGGAGAGAAATGCGGGCGCCTGACGCTCGCTCTAAAGACGGTCTTTAGGCTCGAGTTGAATCTAACTGCAGGCGTGGCCACCTCCGTTCAGATGGACAACAAGCCCTTCAGGCATAACAATTGTAACAAGGTATTGACTAGGTGCTTGATTGTTGGAGTACGAGGTGCTGGAAAGTGGAACGCTATTGGAATATAATCTACTGAATGGTTCTGGCCAATGCAACGGGAGAATGCAGCTGCCACCACTTGCTCCACCAACATTATGGCATAGGTTTTTTGTGTTGCCTGTGGGTGTTTCCTCCTGAACTTGTCTCCCCAATTCCTTGGTATACATGTAATACAACAAGATTGTGGGTGTGGGGATCCTGCCCTTTTTGAGCCACGGACCTGCCTCACTAGGCACCTAGGTCGTTACGGGGACCTAGGTGGGACCACCCCGACCTACTCCCATATTATACAATAATATATTCTAGTTGGAGAGTTGTTACTATATCTTGGGCAGAGCGTCCCCCACACCAAGAGACCATTAGTAGGGCGTCCCCCACATCAGGGCAGCGTGCGCAACATTCGTCCTCCTCAGGGAGGTGGGACATCCCCGTCCCAGTGTGTAGATATGGGCGTAGACGCATGCATGGCTCACAAGCCTACTGTACATAGAAACTGGTTGTGCATGTTGTCACATACCCAATGAACCACGTACTATGTACAATAGAAACATTGAAGAGAAAGAGTGGTTATTACATGGAAAATGTTCCTGCAGACAACCCTCATTAAAACTCTTCGTTCAGCTTACCGGCTGGAATGTCAGTATCACCTATAATATACAAGTTCTATTCTATGACCTCTCGGCCTGCCCATATCCAACAAATGTTCATGATATACAGGGATCACCCTGCATGTCCCCCGGCATGACCTCCACCGGCCATCCACCCATGACCATGACCACGCTGGGTGTAGCCTGGGTTTCTGCCTCTACCATGCCCATGGCTAGAGGTAGTCACAAGTAGACCATTGCTCTGGATCCTTTCACCATTTATGATGGTAATAGACATGGCGTTCATATGTCCAAATTGCGAGTGGGACCGGTGTATTTGATAACCGGTGTTCTTCTGTGCCCACCACAGAATTGCCTGTCACATACAAAAGCACAGACATGCTCACGTCTATATGTACATCTTGTATTGCAACCAGTTTGCACATTCACAACAGGAGCTCTGATATTCTGAAATGCTTGAACTAGTTCCTGTGTATTGGCGACTGCTTTTGCTGATTCCTAGCTGTTATGCTCATGACCATAACCCAACCATTTGACAAAGTACTCTATAAAGCCTTGTTTACAGCCACACTTTTTAACCCTTTTATCAAGGATGCGTTCCACCTCATACTCCAGTTCCCCTTCAATTTCGATAGGGACTGGTGGTGGTTGTACTCTGCCACTAGCCTTATAAGGCTTGGGTTTTGATACATTGAAAACTGGATGTATCTTACTCATGCTTTCCGGGAGTTCTAGTCGATATGCAACAGAACCTATCCGGTTGAGGACGGTGAAGGGCCCAATCCACCTCGGTAATAATTTTTGAGTTTCAGGGTACTTGCGGGTAATCTTCTATGTCAAAAGGAGGATATCATCTCCTTTATTAAATGACACGTCCCTCCAGTGGTGGTCAGTGTGCTTTTACTGCCCGTGCTTTTTCTAAGCACGCTCTAGCCTCTTTCAGCGCTGATTGGATATGGTGATCAAATTGTGTCACTGCTAGTAATCCCTCCATGAGGGGTGTACTATTATGCCTTAAGTGAGATTGTTGTGCCCAGTCAATGGCCACTGCCAAGCCGCGGGCATTCAGATTGTCATAACCTTCTATTGGCTCCCAAATTTGCACCTCAAGAGCTAAGGGACTTCGTGGGTGTCGACTATAGTTCAAATAGAAAGGGGTCTCTTGGGTTGAACTGTTTTTCAAGTTGTTTATTGCAAACTCGGCCATGGCTATTAGTTCATCCCATGCGTCTTGATCAGCATGCATATAACTGTGCAAATAATCCTCCAAAATCCAATTCATGTCTTCGGTCTGGCCATCCATTTGAGAATAGTACGCAGTGCTCATATTGAGCTGCACTTTCCACCTCTCCACTAGGTACTGGTTAAAACTAGAAGTGAACCAAACACCTGTGTCGGACACTATCATAGAGGGGAGACCGTGGTGCCGTATCACATTCTACACCAATAGGTTTGTTGCTCCTTATGCAAAGACTTCATTCGTGGTGGCTGCAATGCACACCATCTTGGTCCGTGTTGCGCGGCAGCACGCAACAGGGGGTGAGAGAGAGCTACCGGTGCGGGCGCTCGAAGGCCATTAAGCCGGGACCCAGCACCGGACCCCAAGTACTACGTACTTGGGGCCACACCCGAGCGCCGGTACTTGGGGGTACCCCAGGTACCGGTGGCCACCGCCCTAGTGCCGGTCTAAGCACTCTAACCCCTACACTATCGTAACCGCAGCCCTCTTGGGCCGGTTACTATAGGGGAGTTGTCGATACCCCTGGGTACCGGTTAGTGCGGTACATCACTCCCCCCCCCCTTTAGTCGCGACCCGCGACGTCAGACCAGAAGCTGGTAACCCGACGCAAGAAGCGGGAGGTACGGTGGGAGGGGAGGCGTCGAGAGCCCGCCGAAGGGACGGGGGACGAAGGGAGTGGCGGGGGCGACGAACGCCGTCAAGGAGGTGAGGCGGAACGAAG